GTCGAACCCGGTTATAAATTTCTTCACCGGTCAATCTCGGGGGTGGGCTCTCTCGTACCGCTCTGCCTCTAATGAAAGACTTCTTGTCCTTTCGATATCGGTGCCTTTCCGGGAGAAACTTGCGGTGACAATCAAAGTAACTTCCTTTTTTGCTGTAACTAAGCCAGTTGGCACCTGATTTCTCCATACATATCGGACATCCCATCAAACCGTGTGTGCTCCATCCCGAAAGCATGCCATAGGCAGGGAAGTCGCTAATGGTCCAAATGATGGCAGCTTTCATGATAAACATTTTATCTGATGAAACATCATAAGTTGGTGTCCCAACGGCCCACAGTTCTTTCATCTCCTCGACAAGGGGTTGGAGATAAATGTCTATCTTTCGCCCAGGATCCTTGGAACCCGGACAAATTAAAGACAAAAATATGAAATGACTTTTCATGCACATGTCGGGAGGGAGATTGTAAGGAGTTAACATGACCGGCCAACATGAATAGTTCTTGCCAAACCTGCCAAAAGGAGCAAATCCATCTGAGCACAATCCCAGCCGCACATTTCGTGGCTCCATAGCAAACTGAGGATGACAGCGGTCAAAGTGTCTCCAGGCTTCACAGTCCGAAGGGTGAGCCATCATACCCTCGTTGGTTTCGTGCTCAACATGCCATGTCATGTGTTTCGCAATAGCAGTCGAAGCGTACATCCTCTGCAGTCGAGGAGCTATTGGGAGGTAATACAGTTTAGACAGTGCAGACCTATGTCGTGGTTTCTTTTTACCTTGACGAACAGGTTTGTATCTGTCTCCACCACAGAACTTGCAGAACTCAAGTGCCTCATCCTCCTTCCAGAACAACATACATCCTTCCGGGCACGCATCAATTTCAACACAAGGTAGCCCCAACTTAGACATTAACTGCTTCATGTGGTAATATGAATCCGGAAGGGTATGATCTCGCGGTAGCATCCCTCCTACTGACTGCAAGACTCTATTCATGCAAGTTTCAGGGAGACTGTATTCGGCTTTTATGTTCATGAATTCAGTAACGGCGGATAGCTGAGAGTATCCCTCACAATCAGCATACAGAGGTTGGTCGGCAGCTTTTAGAACATCCTGAAATCTCTCAGCCAAACCTTCATCCACATAAGGTTGATAAAATGTCGGATTTTCATCCGCATCTGGTTGATACGAGGTTGAGGCTTCAGGGGGTCGTTAGGTGGTTGTGGGGGGTTGAACTGAGACATCGGTACACCGTATGCGTCATATACCATTTGTTGGTCCCACCTCATTTCAGCACGGTCTCCCCACGCACTCATCTCTGGAGGGACGTAACGAGACGAACCTACCGTTTGTGGTATAACAGATGGATCCAAAGGTTCGCCGTGAGAAGTCCAATTATAATAATTGGGAACAAAACCGACCGCGTACAAATCATACCCAACTTCGTGTGGGTCTTTAAATTTGAGATTTTTACACTTTGAACATGGACATCTTATTTTATCACCACTCATATAAGCCGGATGTTCAAGTGCAAATTCAATAAATTCCCCAACTCCCTCGAGAAAATTTGATTGCATTCCGTACAATACCGCATCTTTATCATACATCCAACTTCTATTTTGTTTATACATTATGCCTGAATATTATAATAAAAAAGTATACACGTTCAAATACTAACAATAATACTAACAAATTTTAAGTGAGTTATTTCACTAAATAATCAACTAACTAATTTTCACTAAATTAAATGAAATGCACACAATTCACAACAATAATTCACAAAATATAAGTAATTACCTAATACTTAAATTTAACTAATATTACAAAAAATTTAAGTAATTTATTAACACTACATTTAAATTAAACATACGTTTAACTAAATTTAACTAATTCATTTAGTTAAATTTAACTAAATTTAACTAGTTCATTCCGTCCTCTTTTAATGCATCACTACGTTTAAACCTACGTTTAGCTAACTAATATAACACAATTAACACATCACTAGCTACGTTTAAACCTACGTTTAGCTAACGAATTTTAATTAAATTATTTTTGTAAACCTACATTTAAACCTACACTAAATTATTACGTTAATGACATTTAATGTTATCAGTACTACACAATTAACAATTCCAATTCACTAAATTAAATAATATGACCAAATTAAACCCAATAATTTGAACATGTATATAAGGTCATTTGAATTAATAAATAATACACAATTACAATAACAATTCACAATACACTTAATTAACACATTACTAACGTACGTTTAACTAACTAATTTCACTTAACATAAAGATCACTACGTTTAAAACTACGTTTAGCTAACTAATTTTAATTAAATTATTTTATAAACCTAACAGTTTAACTAATTTTATGACATTAATACGCTTACAGTTGAATATGTTGTTAATTAATTAACAACATCACTAATTTAATAGTTTTAATAATTTAAATTGAACCAACTAATTCTAAATAAAAATAATAATTCAAATAACATACCTTAACTGCATAAATGGGGAAAATGATAGAAGACAGACTACATCCTTCGATCTTTCAAACAGATACTGTATATACTAGGAATGAATTGGTGTGGTTTTGTTGAATGAACTGCTCCTGCATATATAAAAAATTTAGTCACGGACTTAGTCACGGATTTGTCCGTCACTAAGCAAAACCGTGTCCATTACGCGTCCGATCCGTGTTAATGACGTGTAAATGACGTGTAAATCAAAGTAAATCAAAGTAGTCACGGACATAGTCACGGCCATGTCCGTGACTAAATTTATCCGTACATAATACCGTTGCGGATTGATTTATTGGGGATGCAAAATTAATTTTTAAATTTAGTCACGGCTGTAGTCACAGATGTAACCGTGACTATGTCGCCGGAGTAAAACAAGCCAGGCCGGAAAATCAAACGAGCAATCGGAGGATGTTAGTCACGGACAAAAAACCGTGACTACGTGTAGTTACGGCTGTAGTCACGGTAAAATCCGTGACTAATTTTTTTTTTAAATTTTCGTGACTAGTCCGTGACTAGTCCGTGACTAGGCTAGTCACGGACCAAATCCGTGACTACGGTCCGTGACTAAACGAGTGTTTTTTTGTAGTGAATTCTGACATTTTTTAAAGAATTTAGTTTTAAAAAAAGATAAAATTTAAAATATATATTCTAGCATTAATTCAAATAATATGTACCAACTATGTAAATTGAACAAGCAACATAATATTATTATAAAAACTAATAATCTCATACATGCTTTTGTAATACTTCATCCGTCCCTTAAAATTTGGCCAAATTTAGTCAGTACGTGGATGAATAAAGTAAAAATTGTGTGGTTGAAGTTTGTGCAGATGAGGTAGAATGAACTAGCACCACCAATTATTTACTTAAAAGAGAAAGTGACAAAACTAATGCGACAACGCAAAAAGGAAAGTTGGCAAATGTACAAATATAGCCATTTCAGACAAAAGTATGATTCAAAAATTGAGTCTTTATTCAGGTAAGATTAATGCAGTTAAACTAGGCATAACTCATTTGAAATGTATTTGTGAATTTGTTCTTTTTAATAAAGCAATACCCAATTGTTGCAAGATCATCATCCATGAAGGTCTTCATATATAACGTCCAAGTATTCAATCACATTCTTTTCATTGTTTGTAGTCATGAGAGAAGATAGAAGAGACAACATGCGCATCATGGAGGAACTAGCGAAGCTAGTTTCAAGCTTGGTCCATGCAATAGTCAATGGGGATTATGGTCATCAAGGCAGTTGACTGAATAGCCAGCAGAATGATATGATACAGTCTTGACGCGTCCAAAAATCATAATATTTGGATTGGTATAGTCACGACATATTTTTTCCCTTGTGACTTGTGAGAGGTTATTTGTGATTTCTGAGAGAAGTAATTACTTTCACCTTTGGATAACTTGATAGGAATTTGAAATGAAAGATTTAGTGAGATTAGTGTAGAGGAAAAATGTTTGACATGCGAACAACAACATTTGTATATGTTGATAATGTGAAATATTATGGGAAGTAATGGCTTACCCATTGTGGTAGCCTTAGGCATATATTTATACTAATCAAGGTAAAGGAATTACACAATGGTCCTTAGTAATTAATAATAATAATAATAATAATAATAATAATAATAATAATAATAATAATAATAATAATAATAATAATAATAATAATAATAATAATAATAATAATAATAATAATAATAATAATAATAATAATAATAATAATAATAATAATAATAATAATAATAATAATAATAATAATAATAATAATAATAATAATAATAATAATAATAATAATAATAATAATAATAATAATAATAATAATAATAATAATAATAATAATAATAATAATAATAATAATAATAATAATAATAATAATAATAATAATAATAATAATAATAATAATAATAATAATAATAATAATAATAATAATAATAATAATAATAATAATAATAATAATAATAATAATAATAATAATAATAATAATAATAATAATAATAATAATAATAATAATAATAATAATAATAATAATAATAATAATAATAATAATAATAATAATAATAATAATAATAATAATAATAATAATAATAATAATAATAATAATAATAATAATAATAATAATAATAATAATAATAATAATAATAATAATAATAATAATAATAATAATAATAATAATAATAATAATAATAATAATAATAATAATAATAATAATAATAATAATAATAATAATAATAATAATAATAATAATAATAATAATAATAATAATAATAATAATAATAATAATAATAATAATAATAATAATAATAATAATAATAATAATAATAATAATAATAATAATAATAATAATAATAATAATAATAATAATAATAATAATAATAATAATAATAATAATAATAATAATAATAATAATAATAATAATAATAATAATAATAATAATAATAATAATAATAATATAACTACGTTATTACACCCCCTCAATCTGTGCAGGGGAAACCACGTGCAGATTGGAACGTAAAAACTCAAAGCGCTGACTAGTGAGATTCTTCGTGAAAATATCCGCAAGCTGGAACTGAGTAGGAATGTATCTGACAACAAGATCCCCATGAGCTACTCATTCACGTACAAAATGATAGCCAATTTTAATATGTTTGTTGCGATCATGCTGAATAGGATTAACTGCAAGGTAAGAAACAGAAACATTATCACAAAAAAGCTTGACCGGATCCGAGACCAAGATGCCCATATCTGCCAAAAGAGAACGAATAAACAGTGTATCCTGAATAGTATATGCCACAGCCCGATATTCAGCTTCAGTGGAGGATTTTGAGACAGTAGGCTGCTTCTTGGACCTCCAAGAAATAAGATTTTCACCCAAAAAAATAGCATAGCCTGTGGTGGAGCGACAACTATCGGGACAACCAGCCCAATCCGCATCGGAGTAAGCAACCACTACCGAAATCTTCTGACCTGACCGAAGCCATAAACCATGTGTCAAAGTGCCCTGTAAGTACCTGTAAATACGCTTAACAGCAGCTAAGTGAGTAGTACGTGGAGCATGCATAAACTGAGAAACCAGGTGAACGACATAGGTAATATCAGGTCGGGTAATAGTCAAGTACTGTAACGCACCTACCATACTACGTGTCACGCCCCGGACCTCCCCGGACACGTCAACAACCCGCCATACAATACGAATAGTCAACCGCAGTCCAACACATTCATATTATACAAGGCGTCTAGAATATCATTCACACGCAAGCCATCCATAAACAACATAATAAGCAATCGAATACGTAGCGGAAAACATAGTTTGAAAACAAATGCCACACGTGGCTAACATGAGCACGCAGGCTCTATAGTAAAATATTCATGAGCATGTTTACTAATGTTTAAAAACCGAATGGAGGAAGCACGAACCAAGTCTTCCCTCCTAGATGATCTCTCGAGCAACGAGCACAGGAAGCAAGCTCTAGCCTCAACCTGAAAAATGGTGGTGGGACGCCCCCGAAGGGGTCAGCACTCTATAGGGCTATAAAGTGCTGGTGTGGATGGCATCTAATAGATATACAACAAGTATTTCAAACACAAGACCCTCAAATAGGGTGATAATATAATCTAGGCCGTAACCCCAAGTTACCCCTTTTTAAAATATACTTACTTTATATATAAAGTCAAGTAGTCGGCCCGTAGGCCCAAGGTTTGTTTATCAAACATAGCCCAAAACCCCGTGACCCCTAGTCACAACAATTCATAGGGTTCAACCCTAACACATATATTTGCATTCTCGAGTCCAACTCGACTACATCACCATGCACCTTAATTAACATAAGCTAACTACTCCACCGTGCATTTCTTGAGTCCAATTCAACTACATCACCATGCACAACAATCACCCCATCATGTCTACCCAATGCAATTCTATGAGCACGGCTCAAGTACATCCCCTTGCATTGGCATAGACCCCAATTCCTAAGCACTCGCTATGCCTAGAATTGTAATATCAATAATCTATTTTGGGACATCCTTACGGACTGCCCAACCATGGTCTTAGCATCACATTACATCAATTTAGTCACTTGCATCACAATCAAGTTCATCAATTACAATCAAATCCTTAGATTCAATTCCTCAATAATTACAACAATCATTAACTAGTATTTCAATACTATTAAGATTATTCTTATCCATCATATATTCCATTTGTAAAACCCTACATATTTAGAGATATGTAGCAGCAACTTAATCATTCAATGTAATACATAAATAATCATTTATGTATCTACACAATTCACACATGAGTAAAATGCCTATTTCACACAATAGTTCATTTAACTCCATTTTTATCAATACTTTACCAAATCATTTCCCATTTCATTATTTGGAAAATAGATCAATATTCCATCAATAATTTATCATCATAATCCATGGAAAACATTATTTAGGCATTTAGGTAATCTCATGCTTAACCTACAAGTTGTAAGCAACTAGATGTCGATCCTCACCTCAAATGAGCTTTAAAACTTTCCTTCTCGATCCAATGACCAAAGCCTCGGCCAAGGAAGCTTGAGAACTGATTCCTTGCTTATAAATGAGTGTCAAACAGCCTCCTCAAAATGATAGTTCAACCCTTAATCGTTGGTACGAAAACAGCCCCTAGAATGGGTGTTTTCCGGTTAACTCGTTTCCTAGTTTTCCAAGATTTGCTCTAGGTTAGTATCTAACCTTTACATCAATAAAATAACTTTATGGGGACATATTATACACTTTGATTAGTGTACAATAGTTCCACCAATCGTTCATATCATTTGGAAAATGAATGGAAAGGTTTTGGGGTTAACAACTCACTTTAGAAGAGTAGATCCGTTTCTGCGAGGTTGCGTTTTTCTCGGACGATTTGGAAGCCTTCCACTACTCCGATTGATGCAAAACAGACCTTCACGGATTCCTCGTCTTGAGAACTTTCTTTTGGTATCTCGCACGCCTTATTTGGATTGGTATAACTCAAGATATCAACCAAACAACTTCATCACTCTCACTGCTCGAGTTTACAGACAGCAGTTCACTCCAGCTCGATTTGTGTATGATAGACTCTCTCCTCTCGAAAAGAGACCACTCAAATATGAAACTGCACTTCAAGGGCTATCCAAGGACACCTCATACACGTTATTTGGATGAGTATAGCTCCTATAATGAGAGGAGACAAATACCACACCAATTTGTGCGAAAATAAGGATGGTGGCCCCAAAATTTGATTCCAATTGTGTCATGTGCAGTTCTTCTCCATGTGGTGCGGCCAAGGTGAGTCTTCTCACATATTTTCTTTGTCTTTCAGGTACTCAAGCCACATGGAATGCTCCCCAATTGATCTCAATCAATTTGAGGTCCAAAATGTCTACCAATACTTCCAAAAAATGGGAAGATGGGTCCTATTGTTTTATCTTTGTCAAAGATGTCTTTTTGTACTCATCCTAATTTATTTAGAACAAGTCAACTTATTACATCACATTATTGATCTCCAATATGTGTAGGCTCATCACAATAATTTACTTGATGGGTATCATAGAAGGAAAATCCTACTCCTATTATTTAGCCCAATAATGTCAAAGATGGGCTATAGGCATTTGTATTCCTCTCTAATCATTCTATCACTTATTTTGAAATTTGTCATACATATTATTGGACTACTATCCGTGTGGGTCACTCCCGATTGGGTCTAGGATGCCATTCTCGAATACTTGCTATTTTTAGCAGGTTGGGCTCAAAATAACGTTTGGGCCGTCCGACCTTACTCGGATTGTCTTGAAAGATTATGTATCACTATTTAGATAATGTTGGGCTCTTTTATTTATTAATAAGACCCAAATAGTATTTACATGCCCGACACTAATATACGAGTTCGAACAGTACAATAATCGATCATTAATTACGTAAAACATTAATCGTTTTACAATTGTTTGGGAATCAGAAATCCAATACATAAACTTTGAATTTTTAAATCAAATTTTCAAGGACGTTCGGGTGCGGTGTCACAAGTTCACCCCCCCTTAACAGGAATTTCGTCCCCGAAATTCACAGCTCTACTCGAATAGGAAAGCATACTGCTTCCTCATCAAAGCCTTTGTTTCCCATGTCTCTTCTTCGACCCGATCGCTCTTCCAAAGTACTTTAACCATTGGGACTTCTTTGCTCCTCAGTTTCTTCACCTTTCTATCGGTGACCTTGATTGGTTGCATAGCGTAGTTCAGATCCTCACGTACCTCTACAGGCGGCCTTTCCAATATGTGAGAGGGATCATGTACATACTTCTTAAGCATGGATACATGAAACACATTATGTATCTTCTCTAATTCAGGAGTTAACTGCAGGCGATATGCTACGGCCCCAATCCTCTCTATAATTCTGAATGGACCTATGTATCGTGGATTAAGCTTTCCTCGAGTTTGAAATCGAATGATTCCTTTCCAAGGAGAAACTTTCAAGAATACCTCGTCATCAACCTTAAACTCTAAGGTTCTCCGACGTTTATCTGCATAACTCTTTTGTCTATCCTGAGCCGCTTTGAGTCTCTCTCGAATCAACTTCACCTTTGACTTGGTGATCTCAACCAACTCGGTAGCCTCGAGTTTGGCCATGCCAACCTCGTCCCAGCATAACGGTGTACGGCACCTCCTCCCATATAATGCCTCGTATGGAGGCATGCCGATGCTTGCCTGATAACTGTTGTTATAGGCAAACTCCACAAGTGCTAAGTGGTTGTCCCAACTTCCTTGGAACTCCAATGCACAAGCCCTCAGCATGTCTTCTAAGATCTGTATGACTCTTTCAGACTGCCCATCCGTCTGTGGGTGGAAAGCAGTACTGAACTTCAACCTTGTTCCCATAGACTCCTGAAATTTCGGCCAAAAACGTGATGCGAATCGTGGGTCTCTATCGGATACAATGGTCACTGGGACCCCATGCAGCCTCACGATCTCATCCGTATACAATTTGGCTAACCTCTCAAGTGGGTAGGTAGTGTTGATAGGCAAGAAGTGTGCACTCTTCGTGAGCCTATCTACAACGACCCAAACTGCATCATAGTTCCTGATTGTCCGTGGTAAACCTACCAAGAAATCCATAGTCACGTGTTCCCACTTCCATTCAGGAATGGAAAGTGGTTGCAATAAGCCTCCTGGATGCTGATGTTCCGCCTTAACTTGTTGACAAGTAAGGCATCGACTGATGTATTCGGCTATTTCCCTCTTCATTCCAGACCACCAGTAACTTTCTTTCAAATCTCGGTACATTTTCGTGCCCCCTGGGTGCATGGCATAAGCCGATGAATGAGCCTCCTCTAAGATGGACTTACGGAGCTCCTCATCTGACGGTACACACACTCGGTCACGAAATAACAAGAGACCATCATCTCTTTCCCTGAAATCCTCCACCGGTCCCGCTTGCATGCGTTCCCGGACCTTCACAAGTTCTGCGTCAGTCTCTTGACCCTTCTTGATCTCATCAAGTAAGGTCGGTCTCACCTCAAATCGTGCCAATAGGGCACCATCGCTAGATACATCCAATTGGGCCCTCAATGCCCTCAAACTAGTCAACAATGCCCCAGACGAACTCTTCCGACTGAGGGCATCTGCTACAACGTTTGCCTTACCTGGATGGTACTCAATAACTAGATGGTAGTCCTTTATCAACTCCATCCACCGTCTCTGTCTCGTGTTTAACTCTTTCTGAGTAAACACGTACTTCAAGCTCTTATGATCAGTATATATGTGACATGTCTCTCCATAGAGATAATGTCTCCAAATCTTCAGTGCAAACACCACTGCCCCCAGCTCCAGATCATGGGTATGATAATTTACCTCATGCTTCTTCAACTGTCGTGAAGCATAGGCAATTACCCTCCCCTCCTGCATCAACACACACCCAAACCCTTGGATGCTCGCGTCACTATAGACATCGTACCCCACACCTTGTTTGGGTAATGCAAGTACCGGTGCCTCGGTCAATCTCTTCTTCAGTTCGATGAATCCTTTCTCACATTTGTCATCCCATATAAACTTAGCTCCCTTTCGAGTGAGCTTCGTCAACGGCGACGCCAAAGCAGAGAACCTTTCCACGAACTTTCTGTACTAGCCTGCCAATCCAAGGAAACTACGAATTTCCTTGACATTCTTTGGTCTCTCCCATTTGGTAATGGCCTCTATCTTCTTGTTATCAACAGCAATTCCCGATCCCGAAACCACATGCCCGAGAAAGCCAATTTCCTTTAGCCAAAATTCACATTTAGAAAATGTGGCATAAAGTTGCTTCTCCCGTAGTGTCTCAAGAACAAGTATCAAGTGCTCCTCGTGCTCTTCTTCACTCTTTGAGTAAATCAAGATGTCATCTATGAACACAATCACGAATCGATCCAAGTATTTATGGAATACTCGGTTCATCAAGTCCATGAATGCCGCTGGGGCGTTTGTTAACCCAAACGACATAACAAGGAACTCAAAATGCCCATACCTTGTGCGGAAAGCACTCTTTGGTATGTCATCTTCCCTAATCTTCAATTGATGGTAACCCGACCTCAAGTCAATCTTTGAAAACACGGTTGCTCCTCGTAGTTGATCAAACAGGTCATCAATTCTAGGCAAAGGATACCTATTCTTGATTGTGACCTTGTTCAGTTGACAATAGTCAATGCACATTCGAAGTGTCCCATCTTTCTTTTTCACAAAAAGGACCGGTGCTCCCCACGGGGAGTGGCTTGGTCTAATGAAACCATTATCCAAAAGCTCTTGCAATTGGGTTTTCAACTCGTTAAGTTCAGCGGGTGCCATACGGTATGGCGGTATGGAGATTGGTTTGGTGCCGGGCTCGACCTCGATCACAAATTCAATCTCCCTATCAGGTGGAAGCCCCGGCAGGTTCTTTGGGAAGACATCCGGGTACTTACAAACCACCCTCACGTCGTCGATGTTCGTTTCCTCCTTGGTTTTATCAACCACGTATGCTAGATAAGCGTGGCATCCCTTTCTCATCATACTTCTCGCTCTCACAGCGGATATGATACAGCTGTTTGATTTGCCTCGGTCCCCCTCGAAGCGTAGGGTACCCCCATCATTGCCTTCGAGTTCCAAAACCTTTGTGTAGCAATCTACCCTAGCATGATGCTTTTCTAGCCAATCCATCCCCAGGATTGCATCGAACTCCATCATACTTAGCGGTACGAAATCACACGTCAAGGTTTGGCCACCGATTTCCACCATACAAGATGGATAGTAATTGGTTCTTTCAACGTCTTCCCCTAGTGGTGTTGATACCACTAAAGTTTGCGTCATTGGTATTGATTGTATCTCTAAGCCCTCGGTGAACGCCTCACTTACGAATGAACGTTGCGCTCCGGTATCGATAAGGATTCGTGCATGCTTCCCATTAATCTTTAGTGTTCCTACATTTATAAGTCATGTGAGATACCTTTCCTACCATTCTTATACATTTAGAGAGGTTTATTATGTTCACACACGTGTTTGGGATCAAGAACGGGTCTTAACGTTGCAATATGACGCGAAAAAGTCGACTTTGGGCTGCCCAGGAGGTACGCACGGCGTGCCTAGGAGGTACGCACGGCGTGCGTGTCTTATAACCTCAAAACGGAGCTACTGCCACCAACGCACGGACCAACGCACGGACAACACACGTCCGTGTGTATAGCAATTTCTTCCCGGTTGCTACTGCCACCAACGCACGGACCAACGCACGGACAACGCACGGCCGTGCGTATAGCAATTTCTTCCCGGTTGCTACTGCCACCAACGCACGGACCAACGCACGGACAACGCACGACCGTGCGTATGGTCCAGCCTGGTGTGTGTTGGCGGAAATCAGCCGTCTTTCGCCCGATTTCGCTCCGTTTGATCCCAAAACTTCGTGCAATGATCCCAACGACTAGCAACCTCAATTTATGGACTAATCAAGGGTAAAACACAAGTATACAAAAGGTAATACCTGCAACGGAATCCGGGTTAGCTTGAGCATTCGCCTCCGTCATCGCATAGACTCTAGCTTGAGTCTTTCCTTGATTCACGGACGGCGCGTTGCTCGCACTTGCTCCCCCTTGCCCCCTGGACGCGTGTGAAGCCCCGGCTTGATTCCGTGTCCCGGTAGTACCACTACTTGGCCCTGATGTCCTCGTTCCGCCCAGTTGTGGGCAACTCATCTTCATGTGCCCGGTGCTCCCGCATTGGTAGCATCTAGGAGGGTCATGGCATTTCCCTAGGTGGTTCCTCTTGCAATTCTTGCAACGAGTCACCCCCGAGGCTTGTGATTGTCCGCCCGGGCCTTGACCTCCCCTAGATGGCAGTGGGGGTGTCCGAAAAGATCCCCCTCCTCCGTGGTTCCCCTTTTTGTTAGGACCCTGAGGTCCATGGTTCTCCCACTTTCTCTTCTTCGCCTCTTCGGCGTTTTTCAACTTTCTTTCTTCCCATTCCTTCTCTCCTTTCAATCCTTGCTCGACCACCTGGCTAAAGGTCATGTTAGGCAACTGTGTTGCCCTCTCACGCACCTCTAAGTCTAAGGCATCCCAGAAGTGATTTACCATCCGGTTCTCGTCACAGACATACTCCGGTATGAACTCCGCGAGCTCCCTGAATTTGTGTTCAAGTTGCCTCACCGTCATTTTACCACCTTGGGTCAGGAGGGTATACTCTCTCCTCTTAGTGTTCACCTCAAAATCAGAATAGTATTGGGCAAAGAACTCCTGTCGGAAATTCTCCCAAGTCACGGTATTGCCATACTTTCCCTTGGCTCTGTCCCACCATGTGGATGTCATCCCTTCAAGCAATCTCACCGCCACCCTTAGTTTAAATTCGGGGGTGAGTTGCATATCAAGGGCTGCTTCGTTCAACCTCTTGATCCATTCCGCGACGACCGAGATGTCACCTGCTCCGTTGAAGGGTTTGCACCCCAAGTCTCTCGCCTCTTTGAGAAATTTTGAGATCCTTATGATTGGACCTCCATCACCCCGGCCCCCATGTGGTTCAATGTGGGCCCTAGAGTCGCCATGGCTTCTTCCTCTTGAAGCCCCACCCGAAGTTCGCCCTCCTCGGCGCCTTCAGCGTTCCCTCCTTTCCTCGCGCTCCCGCTGATATTGCTGGAGCAGCGCCTCAATTCTTGCTAGGGAGTCATCCTCCCCTTCTTCATCACTTACATCATCGTCATCCCCTTCGTAAGGGGTCTCAACCGGCTCGGTTTCCGGTTGGTAAGTCGAGTCCTCATAGGACCAGTAGGTTTCACTTTCTGTGTCGACATGGCCGTCACTCACGGTCTGTGATCGGCCTCCACGGCCAGCTCCTCTAGATGCCCTAGAGGTCCTTCGACTGCCCTGTCCAGTCTCCACTGGTACACGGCCAGTCGGGTTTCTCCTAGTAATCCTGCCACCACGGTCCATTTCTGAAAGAAATTTGGAAAGAGTCGTTAGACTCGTATCAAATGTCAATTGACGGATAGGTACTTAAGACACATTTTGGCTCGAGTCACCGCCATACCAATTGTTAAGGGTACCATCTTAACAATTAGAGACCTTGCAACCCAAGTACCAAAAGCTCTCCAAGTACAAAACTTCTATGCTCATGGTTTTCAAAATCTTTTCAAAAAGAGAATTTTGAGACTTCATTATGAAGTTTATGGACTAAGGCTCTGATACCAATTAAATTGTCACGCCCCGGACCTCCCCGGACACGTCAACAACCCGCCATACAATACGAATAGTCAACCGCAGTCCAACACATTCATATTATACAAGGCGTCTAGAATATCATTCACACGCAAGCCATCCATAAACAACATAATAAGCAATCGAATACGTAGCGGAAAACATAGTTTGAAAACAAATGCCACACGTGGCTAACATGAGCACGCAGGCTCTATAGTAAAATATTCATGAGCATGTTTACTAATGTTTAAAAACCGAATGGAGGAAGCACGAACCAAGTCTTCCCTCCTAGATGATCTCTCGAGCAACGAGCACAGGAAGCAAGTTCTAGCCTCAACCTGAAAATGGTGGTGGGACGCCCCCGAAGAGGTCAGCACTCTATAGGGCTATAAAGTGCTGGTGTGGATGGCATCTAATAGATATACAACAAGTATTTCAAACACAAGACCCTCAAATAGGGTGATAATATAATCTAGGCCGTAACCCCAAGTTACCCCTTTTTAAAATATACTTACTTTATATATAAAGTCAAGTAGTCGGCCCGTAGGCCCAAGGTTTGTTTATCAAACATAGCCCAAAACCCCGTGACCCCTAGTCACAACAATTCATAGGGTTCAACCCTAACACATATATTTGCATTCTCGAGTCCAACTCGACTACATCACCATGCACCTTAATTAACATAAGCTAACTACACCACCATGCATTTCTTGAGTCCAACTCAACTACATCACCATGCACAACAATCACCCCATCATGTCTACCCAATGCAATTCTATGAGCACGGCTCAAGTACATCCCCTTGCATTGGCATAGACCCCAATTCCTAAGCACTCGCTATGCCTAGAATTGTAATATCAATAATCTATTTTGGGACATCCTTACGGACTGCCCAACCATGGTCTTAGCATCACATTACATCAATTTAGTCACTTGCATCACAATCAAGTTCATCAATTACAATCAAATCCTTAGATTCAATTCCTCAATAATTACAACAATCATTAACTAGTATTTCAATACTATTAAGATTATTCTTATCCATCATATATTCCATTTGTAAAACCCTACATATTTAGAGATATGTAGCAGCAACTTAATCATTCAATGTAATACATAAATAATCATTTATGTATCTACACAATTCACACATCAGTAAAATGCCTATTTCACACAATAGTTCATTTAACTCCATTTTTATCAATACTTTACCAAATCATTTCCCATTTCATTATTTGGAAAATAGATCAATATTCCATCAATAATTTATCATCATAATCCATGGAAAACATTATTTAGGCATTTAGGTAATCTCATGCTTAACCTACAAGTTGTAAGCAACTAGATGTCGATCCTCACCTCAAATGAGCTTTAAAACTTTCCTTCTCGATCCAATGACCAAAGCCTCGCCCAAGGAAGCTTGAGAACTGATTCCTTGCTTAGAAATGAGTGTCAAACAGCCTCCTCAAAGTGATAGTTCAACCCTTAATCGTTGGTACGAAAACAGCCCCTAGAATGGGTGTTTTCCGGTTAACTCGTTTCCTAGTTTTCCAAGATTTGCTCTAGGTTAGTATCTAACCTTTACATCAATAAAATAACTTTATGGGGACATATTATACACTTTGATTAGTGTAAAATAGTTCCACCAATCGTTCATATCATTTGGAAAATGAATGGAAAGGTTTTGGGGTTAACAACTCACTTTAGAAGAGTAGATCCGTTTCTGCGAGGTTGCGTTTTTCTCGGACGATTTGGAAGCCTTCCACTACTCCGATTGATGCAAAACAGACCTTCACGGATTCCTCGTCTTGAGAACTTTCTTTTGGTATCTCGCACGCCTTATTTGGATTGGTATAACTCAAGATATCAACCAAACAACTTCAGCACTCTCACTGCTCGAGTTTACAGACAGCAGTTCACTCCAGCTCGATTTGTGTATGATAGACTCTCTCCTCTCGAAAAGAGACCACTCAAATATGAAACTGCACTTCAAGGGCTATCCAAGGACACCTCATACTCGTTATTTGGATGAGTATAGCTCCTATAATGAGAGGAGACAAACACCACACCAATTTGTGCGAAAATAAGGATGGTGGCCCCAAAATTTGATTCCAATTGTGTCATGTGCAGTTCTTCTCCATGTGGTGCGGCCAAGGTGAGTCTTCTCACATATTTTCTTTGTCTTGCAGGTACTCAAGCCACATGGAATGCTCCCCAATTGATCTCAATCAATTTGAGGTCCAAAATGTCTACCAATACTTCCAAAAAATGGGAAGATGGGTCCTATTGTTTTATCTTTGTCAAAGATGTCTTTTTGTACTCATCCTAATTTATTTAGAACAAGTCAACTTATTACATCACATTATTGATCTCCAATATGTGTAGGTTCATCACAATAATTTACTTGATGGGTATCATAGAAGGAAAATCTTACTCCCATTATTTAGCCCAATAATGTCAAAGATGGGCTATAGGCATTTGTATTCCTCTCTAATCATTCTATCACTTATTTTGACATTTGTCATACATATTATTGGACTACTATCCGTGTGGGTCACTCCCGATTGGGTCTAGGATGCCATTCTCGAATACTTGCTATTTTTAGCAGGTTGGGCTCAAAATAACGTTTGGGCCGTCCGACCTTACTCGGATTGTCTTGAAAGATTATGTATCACTATTTAGATAATGTTGGGCTCTTTTATTTATTAATAAGACCCAAATAGTATTTGCATGCCCGACACTAATATACGAGTTCGAACAGTACAATAATCGATTATTAATTACGTAAAACATTAATCGTTTTACAATTGTTTGGGAATCAGAAATCCAATACATAAACTTTGAATTTTTAAATCAAATTTTCAAGGACGTTCGGGTGCGGTGTCACACTACGGTACTCAGTAGCATCACTCAAAAGTTCCCCATCAGTGAGAGATAAAGTGGTACGGGAAGGGAGGGTTTTTTTGACAGACTTAACTGTATGAAGATGAAAACGGCGTAAAAGGTAAGAAGTATATTTGTGCTGAGACAAAAATAAACCCTTGGGATTGCGGTGTGCTTGAATACCCAAAAAATAGTGCAAATTACCCAGATCTTTCATAGCAAATTGTTTGGACAAAATAAGGATAAACTGGTCAACAAGGGACGTAGAGCTACCTGTGATAAGAATATCATCCACATATAGTAAGATATATAGAATGCGATGCTGAGATCGAAAAATAAACATGGATGAGTCAGACCGACTCTGAGAAAAACCTTGAGAGAGAAGAAAGCCACTGAAACGGTGAAACCAAGCTCTAGGGGCCTACTTAAGACCATAGAGAGCTTTACGGAGACGACAAATATGAGAAGGATAGGAAGGATGAATAAAACCTAGAGGCTGACGCATGTAGACTTCTTCTGTGAGGTGACCATGTAGGAAAGCATTTTTGACATCAAGTTGACGCACAGTCCACCCAAGAGAAATAGCAACAGAAAGAACCAAACGAACAGTAGTGGGTTTTACCACAGGACTAAAGGTCTCAGAAAAATCTATCCCAACCTGTTGATTAAACCCTTGAGCAACCAAACAAGCCTTATGGCACTCTATGGAACCATCAGAACGATATTTAGTCTTGTAAACCCATTTGCACCCAACCACATTTTTATTCGAGTCATAGGAACTAAATCCCAAGTTTTATTAGTAATTAGTGCATTAAATTCATCCGCCATGGCAGCCCGCCAAATTAAAGATTTATTTGCTTGAGAAAAACAAGTGGGATCACTGGGAAGAGCTAAAGTATTAAGAGTAAAAATATTCTTGGGTTTAAAAATGCCATCTTTAGCTCTAGTGCGCATGGGGTGAATATTGGGAGCCATTCGTGGAGGGGTGGCATGTAAGGGCTGATCGGTGAGGGGTGAGGCCGAAGAGGTGTGAGGTGAGGATAGTTCACTGCCAGAAGGAGAGTGAGGTGTAAGTGGCGTGGTGGGAGGTGAGGCTTCGGCTGAGGAGTCTGGGGTGGTGTTTAAGGGTGTCGGGTGAGGTTGTATGGGTGTAGTGGCGGTGGAGAGAGTAGGAGAGGCGGCTGGGGTGTGCTGTAATGTGCCTACGGCTGGGGATGGTAAGACTGGACCATCTAATGAATGCCCGACTGGGCGGGCAGTGATGGTTGGACTCCAAGGTTGGAGGGAATGGTTTGGAGAGGTCAGTGAGGATGTGAGGGTAGGATAAGGAAAAATGTGTTCAAAAAATTGAACATCCCTGCTTATGTAGACACGGCCAGTCCGGGGATCCAGACAACGGTAGCCTTTATACCCCGGAGCATACCCAAGAAAAACACAACGCACAGACCATGGAGATAACTTATTAGAGGAACTAGCGACAATGTTGGGAAAACATGCACAACCAAACACTCGCATAAAATTGTAATTAGGGGGTTTGTTAAAAAGTTTTTCATATGGAGACAGACCATGCAAAGTAGGTGTTGGCAGACGATTAATAATAAAAGTAGCAGTATAGAGAGCATCAACCCAAAAAGAGGAAGGAAGATGAGAGTCTAAAAGCATGGTTCGAGACATTTCAAGTAAATGCCACACCATTCTGTGCAGGAGTGTCCGGACAAGATTTTCGAAAAAGAATTCCATGAGTCAAAAATGAGAGTGAAAAAGAGAATTTACAAACTCACCCCCACCATCACTTTGAAAACATTTGATTTTGCAATTAAATACATTTTCTACAAGTTTCTGAAAGTGACAAAAATTAGTAAAAACTTCAGACTTATAACGAAGAGGGTAAATCTAAGTAAAACGAGAGAAATCATCTATAAAAGAAACATAATATTTAAATCCTAAATTTGACAAAGTAGGCGACTGCCAAACATCAGAGTGAATAAGCTGTAAAGGAGCAGTAGTCGTATGCAAAACATCCTGAAAGGGAAGACGGTGGGACTTGCCCAGTTTACAAGAAACACACTCATGAGACAAATTACTAGTACCAAAAATTAAATTATTTTTCCTAAGAAGAGATAAAACACGATCTCCACAATGTCCAAGTCGTTTGTGCAAGACTGGGCCTGGAACTAGCGAGGTCTTTAAAGCAGGAGCAAAGGTGGCCGGGTGGACAGCTTGAAAGGGGTAGACAGAGTCTTTACTGGAGGCCTGGAGTAGAATGGCTCCCGTGTGATTGTCCTTAACAGAAAAATAATTTTTATCAAAAATTACTGAACAATCATTATCCGCACATAAACGCTGAATAGATAACAAATTATATTTAAGGTGCGGTACATGAAAGACAGTATTTAATTTAAGTGGGCGGCCAAGGGTAGATAAATTTACAGAACCAATTTTAAAAACTGGAATTTTATTTCCATTTGCAACTTGAACAGAAAAAGAGTCCGGTGAAATGGATTTACTAGAGAGGATACCTTCGTGTGGTGTCATATGAGCCAATGCCCCTGAATCAGGATACCAAACAGACTCATTCGACTCACCCGTAGGAAAAGCCGCCAGTGCTAGGGTAGAAGGATTAGTGAAGCGAGCACAATGAAGGGCAGAGTGACCCGGAGAAAAACATAGCTGACAAACTACAGGGGGTGGAGGAGACTGAAAATTATTCTCAGCTGACGGAAAACCTGTAGAATAAGTGTGAGTACCATAATAAAATAAAGCATTAGTACTGATAAGTCCGTATTTTGACACGTATTTGATGCGTGTTGAGATCGGCTTTTGATGATTTTCCTAGCTTTAAGGTGTTACAAGTCTCAATTTTAGCTCAAGTTATGTTAACTGGGCGTTGGTTCGAGTTTGTGTTGTTTGTAGTCAAAATCAGGGAATTTGAGCCCGGCACCGGCACTTGAGGAACAATCGGGATGAGTTGAGAAGCATTTGAGATTGATTTGAGAGCAATGGAGGTCACCGGGAGGTTCACAATGAAGATTTGAAGGTAAACCGAGCTCTAGGATTGGCTTCGGGATCAAAAGAAGATGAATGAAGCTAGAAAATGACGATCAGGATAACCTTTGGTCAATCGTTCAAGAATATTTCTTTGTAGAAGCATCCGAAGGACACAATTCAAGTTTTATATGAAAGCCAACTTCAAGGGCTACAAATCATATGAAGACACCATTACGAGAATATGAGAGCAAGAAGGAGAAAACAGACGATGAAGTCAGATGATCTCTGCTGCGATTTCAGAGTGATACCTTCCACCGTTTTGATCATATCTCTTGATTGGATGATTCAAATCACATTTGGCAAATTGGGTTGGATAGAGGACTTCATTATCTAAAACTTTCATGAAGGGAGTTTTGTCAAATTCGGAAGTTTGACGCACGCCGTGCGTAGAGGAACGCACGACCGTGCGTCTGAGGCGAGAAAGCAAGGCAGCTACTGCCAGCCACGCACGGCCGTGCGTTGTCCCCGTGTGTTGCTCCTGGAATCCTAATTTCGCCCGAATTTGTTCCGTTTTTCCTATTTAAACAGCCTGTAAACCCCGTTTTCGAGGGGGGAGCTTAGAGAGAGTGCCTAGCACGAATTTTAGAGGGTTTTTCAGCCTTGTTCATCAATGTTTTGGTATTCTTTGTAAGTTCCATCTTTTTAATTAATGACAATTACTTCTATTCTTCCCAATTCTATTGATTCTTCAATTATGAATTGTGAGTAGTTTAATTAGGGATTGGGATTGATGAAGGGGTTGATCATGATGTATGGCTAGTTTCTTGATGGATTAATTGCATGAATGCCGTTTAATTTTTGTTTGAATAATTTAACTGATATCTCTTGTAACCTAGAACGCGCGCTAGAATTACAATTGCTTGTAGAATAAATTAAGAGAGATCTAGTTTATTCTAGGACACCTTCACACACACTTAATCGTTCGCTAAGAGATTAGTAGCGATTAAGGGGCCGTAAGCTCGCTCGTCTTGGCAATAATTTAGGATCCTGTCGCATGAGAGATCAGCCTGGTCCCCTAAATTATTGT